TCGCCGCCTTCACTAGGTCCAGCGTCCTACACCGAACGGGCAACTAGGCTATATGAACGTATAACTTTCGTTAGGCGTCGGTTTCACCTAGGATTGCAACGCAGAACATGTATTGTGGAATATAGTATTCCGTGATAATCAGCTGTTCTTGCAGGTATGGCAGGAGGTGCAACAAAAGAACAAAGAGGAGAACGAGGACTTCAACATAAAGCTGGTTTAATCCTCCTGTACCTATGTTGTGTTAAACGATATAACGTACTAGTAATCTGTATAATATTTCATGATATACAGAAACTCTACTGTGATCCTGAATGAATTGTTTACTTTTACAAATCCTGACGCCGGGTTTAATTTATAACAAATACAATATTGGTCCCGGTCCATTGGTCATTCTTTCAACTCAATTTGAAATACATACTTGTATCTAAACTTCTCATACAGTTTTCATATCAAAATCACTCTTGTTGTGAAGTTCTGTTATGTAAACGACACATAAAAATATTTGAATTACTTTTTTTTATAATCATTCGGAACATTCGTATCAAATAAGTTAAAATGTTCCCCTATCAACCCTCATTTTTTGAATTCCAAAAGATACCTTTTGAATATTTCGAGTGTTTGTTTTTAAAAGTCTACCATCAAGCGATTGAAAAACTAAGAAACACAAGAAAGCAAAAAGAGGATGTTTGTGTGCAGGTTAAACTGCTTTGACTCCTCCAAATATTGTGCCGGTACCAAGTCAGGTAATCTGAACCATGTGTTATTCGTTGTTGTTTGTCTCTTTTTACATCAGAAGTCAATGCTTTTTGGAAGGTGTTGCATGTTGTACTGTCATCTATTTTTAGTTATTCCTGTTATCCTTGTATCTTATTATATAGCGTTGACGTCATTTTCCTTGTAATAGAAGTGGGATATTTTTTTGGTTTCTTTTTAGCTTTTTTGGCAAACCAACCTACAAGCACTGTGACTGTATGAGACGGAGGTTTGTAAGCTTTTAAAAGCATGCAAATGATAGTTTGGTTATTATTTGGAATAATCCTGATATTTTTTATTCAAAAAGAAGTTCTATATTACATAACGCATTGTAATGCTCACTTGTTATCATTATAAATATAAAAATAAGAAGATGTGGTATGATTATTAATAAGACAACTATCCACAAGAGTTCAAATGAAGTGAATGAACGCAATTACAGGCAAACATACGGCTTCAACAATGAGTAAAACCCATACCGTATAATCGGCTATAAAATGCCCCGACATAACAAATGTGAAACTTTGAAAGGAGAAACTAACGGCATATGAATTGACCATAATTTTCAAATTTGATTTCAAAGTATGCAATTGTACAAAAATTGTCGGCATGTCATCTCGTACTTTACCATATCAACCCCACTTTAGATGATTAGAGAGCATACGATTTTCGCAAAGTATATCTGATCACCAGCAGTCACATTATTTAATATCCCTGAAATGTTCAAAATTTGCATGCTTATCAATTTTTAAAAAATGTTTCCAAAAGCAAATATTACATGCAGGTTCATGACAAGAAAATACAACAGTTCCTACAATTAGGTTCGACCGGGATGATGGGCGGGATATTTGTGATGCCTCTTCAAAATGAGGGTAAATTGTATAGGGACGGAAATTTAGAGGAACGGAAATCTAACCTTGCAGTAGGCCATCTACAGACCCCTTAAAAAGCTGGTTTCAGTACATAAATGTTTGTTTGAGTATACATTTCGTTCGCGTTTGATGATTAATGATGGAATTACAGTTCTTGGATGTTAATCAAATCATGAATATTGTACTCAGTACTCTTTCAAAACCAATGCCAAAGTTGGGCAAGTACGAAACAACGTCCGGTCAGAATGGGAACGTTAAATCCGATGTCTCGTGAAGAGAGTGACACGCTCTCTGCACGTTAAGAACCCTTGGAGTTCGGTATTTTTGTTATTTCACTTTTTGCAACAACTCTTTTAGGGGTCCGTAAGGGCTAGACAAAATTCCTGTCCCTATCCGATTTACCCACATTTTCCAGTGGCAGTCTAAATGTCTCCCCTCCTTTCATCCCGGATTGCCTCTATTACAGGACTTACCCTTTGTATTTATTGTTCATTTTTTCTCGTCCTGAACATGCATGAAAAATTTGCCACTGGACGTAACGCAACCAACAATCAATCAATCAATCAATCATTTGGATTTTGTTTGTAATGCCAGCACATTTGATACTGTTTTGTGGTACATTGAGTAAAATGATGACTTTCAGGTTATTCTGCATTTTGTTCCAGTTAACAAAAGGAGGTGGTATGCCATTATTTGGCGCCTGGAATTGCAAAAAAAAATTAAAAATTCTTGCATAGATTTTTTTTTTTAATTTATTGATAAACGAACCTGTTGATTAAAACGGGAAACTTTAGGGCAGGAAGGTCAATAGTGATGTCACGTCATAAACAAGTAGAAATTGAAGTAATTGACCTAAAATGGTCATTTCATCATTACTTTTTATTTAAATTTATATGAGCAACAGCTAAATCCCAAAAGATGTTTTACACACATTAACGTCTCAGTAAAATATTTTTTTGTAGCATAAAGCTTTCACATATCTACATATCAATGACAAAATATCAAACGGAGGATATTTTGGCAGTTTATGATGTTGTGCACTAAATGTAATCAGTTTGAAGCCCAATTGCCAATATCTTAGACAAAATTGAAAAATGTAATTAATAATTAATGTCTAATGAAAATCTAAAGGATGTTATATCGTAGATTTATAATACTTTTTGATTTTCAAATTCATAGGGTTTAAAAGTGGCTTTATAATATCTTATCCTTTTGATGATTAGGCTGCAGACGGGACATGTGTGTCAAACCGATAGATCTGGGGTTTTTTTTGCTGGCTAGCCACATTTCTACCGATTACATATTTTGACAACCGATAAAACCTTGACTTTTAATTTTTGAATTTTCAGATAGAAACCTCTGATGAATATTTAGAAATAACGATTTTTTTCGTAAATGCTTACTTGTTTTCTATCTAAAAAATATGTTCAACTATAAATGTGACATTGTTACATTGTTTACAAAGAGGTTGGGAATAGCGTAAAGATCGAAGGGATTTGTAAAGTACTCCGGAATATTTATCGAATTTAGTATAAGAATCCCTTGCAACTATACATAATCATGCTACGAGAAAGGAGTAGGTTCAGTAAGACCCCTTTTTGGCCCCAAAATATAGCACTTTTACAAAATTGTTAAAATGTAAACTTTTAGCTATTCATTGGAAAGTAGAATACTTCTGTTATATACATATGGGCTGTTTTTGATAATACAATGCATATTTATCGGGTACTAGTATCATTAAGTCATGCTAAATTACTGAAATCTTCATAATTTTAGCATTTGAGTTAATTTTTAGATAGTTTCCGTCTTAAATGGACGTGGCCGCATTTGTGTTCATTCTTAATATTTAAATGTAAGTTGTATTTGATGATAATACATAACATATATAAAGGTTGAGGATGAACACGTATGCGGCCACTTTCATTTTTGACAAAAACCATCTGAAAAGTGACATATTATGGCAAATTTGATAGATTTATAACATTTAAGCTTGAATATGAGCGTTTTTAATGACTAAATCAGTTCAAATCTTTCACATAAATAAATTGATTCTACTAAAGTAGACACTTAAGTGTTTAAAAAGTGTCCAAAGTCTTTCATCAGATGAACCTGAAATTTGGGGCCAAAATCGGCCCTTACCGGACCTACTCCTTTGTCTTTAATCCACCCGGTTCACCAATAACAGCCCTTTATTCGAATTATTATTTACCTGCGACTGTACGTTCGTGGAATCTCCTCCCTTAGAGTGCTAAAGCTAGTTCTTCAGTGGGAGCTTTCCGGATATCCGATATCATTATTCCATTGATAAGCGCTTTGTCAAATTTAGCACTCAAGACTTCGTATGCGATGCAGTTCTCTAAATCAGCATCTTATTTATCAAAAATTATAGTGGCCTTACCACTTTGTTTGTGTGATGCTGTATTACTTGTTGCACTGCCCTCAATTTCACATCTTTTTTCGCATTTTTATAACATCAGAATGAAACATTTCTTGTCGGACGAAATTTTGCTATACGGTTCAATGGAACTCAGCTATGAACAAAACATCAAAATATTCTTGGCTGTTCAAACATCCATACGCAGTAGTAACAGATTTGTAATATGATTACAAATATCTTGCTCAACAGGTCTACTGTGTACATTTATATCTAAAATACGTGTGTCCATTCTGAAACATACACTTCACTATTGCATTTTTGGTATACCTGATCTTTTTTCTTCTTCTTGTGTTACAATATTATTACATTTTTTGTTTGTTTATAATGTAGTGTGACATTTAATTTCAATTTTATATATTCTACTTCTTGAGCAATGCACATATGAAATGTTTTCATTTACATAAGAAAACGGATTGATATAAGCTTGTTTCTGGATCCCATTAATTATTCATTTGTATTAATATGTTTATGTCAAATTGTGTCTGTTATTTAACTTGAATTTAATTAACAAAATATGTTTACATTAGTGATGCGGTGATGCGATTTTTGTGTCATTAAATATATTTTGAAATATCCTGAAGGAAACGGAAGAGTTCAAGCGAAAAATCTGTAAATAGTCATTCGAAATGTATTTACATCCGTATAGCTAGTCTATTTCCATGTACAATAACATATACTAGTTTTCAATTTGATAAATGAGGATTTCAAGTTAAGAAAAAGAAGATGCGTTCGGACAAATGAACAGTTGGCACAACTGATACATTTTACAATAATGGTTGGGAGCTTTACAAGATTGACTTTTATACTATTTTTTTCCTTACTGATATATACTTATGGACAAAGGTTTAGAGGAGGAGGAGGAGGAGGAGGAGGAGGAGGAGGAGGAGGAGGCGGAGGAGGAGGAGGAATAGGACGAGGAGGTGGAGGAGGAGGATGGAGAGGAGGAGAAGGAGGAGGAATAGGACTAGGAGGAGGATCAGCAGCAGCATTGGATCCAGGAGGAGGACGAGGGGGCTTACCACGTACGTAGTATACTTTTAATAAATTTTTGGAGAGTTATTCAGTTAGAGGATTGATTCAAGTTTTAAACAAATAATATGTTTATGTTACTGGATACTGTTTTTTTATACTGCAATCATATTATTTGCAAAGCACGGTCAAATTGTATTGACCGTCAATACTTTGATGCAAATAATGACCGACTTAAGCCCTTGAATTAATTTAAGAAAAAAATGGGTTTTTTTTCAATGTACAACTTTTACCAAATATTTTAATGCAAGTTTTTGTGTTAAATTTCAACAGTTCACGTATTTAAAAGATACTCATTGGCCTTAATCCAAAACACTCAGATGTTTTTAATACTGTTGTTGGATTTTGAATAAAAATCCCTTGTGGTCAGTTTTATAATTTTCTAATCGGATGAATGGATGGATGGATGGATGGATGGAATGGATGGATGGAATGGATGGAATGGATGATGATGATGATGATGATGATGATGACTGACACTCGAGGCGAACACGCTACCACGAGACCACCGAGGCGGTCCCTAAAATATGTCAGACACTAAGTAGTTCCAAGTCTAGATATGAAGTGAATGGATACAACGACTTCTGAAGATCCATCCAGGTATGTGACGACAAAAAATAGACAAGAGTGTCGATACAATGTATCAAGCTCTATGATTAATTTACATAATAGAGCTGTGATAGACTTATGGTTGAGACGTTTGTGTTCAAAAGCACCTGGAATGTCTCAACATCTTGAAAAAGACTAGTCCGACTGATGGGCTTTTTCAAAAACCGTTTATGGCTTTGGTCTGTATTCAAATTAAGCATTTTAAGTCATATCATCAAAACTGAAACATACACTTAACAATATTTACAATATTTATCATTTATTTAGTAAGAGTAAGTAATATATATCAAAATATTACATATGGGTTTGATGTTTCTTGTGTCTCATTGATTTATTTGGTCACGTGTTTCCCAATATATATTTTGTATTTTTTCACTATTTTGACATATTGACTCGACGTTACTATTTTTAAAAATGATATTGACTACATCATTTGTACATGTTAATTAAAATAGTAGGATCGAGTCAATATCATTTCCAAAAATAGTAACATCGAGTCAATATCATTTCCAAAAAATAGTAACATCGAGTCAATATCATTTTCAAACTTACACTTTTTACATATCTAATATATAAATTAAGGACTTTCACTCAGTCAATATTTTATATATGGACCTGTTAGATTATATTGAATCTGAACAGGTTCACACACCTAATTATATGGGCATTTAAAAAGTCAGAATGCGAGTATATACGTTCAAACTCTTTTAGGTCATTTTTTAGTAACAACAAACAAAAGAACTATGTCAATTGGACCTGCTTTGATACCATTACTGCCCTTGAATTTTTACTAGATAACATTTTTGTTCGCTATGGAGATTCCGTATATCGTCAATTTATCGGAATTCCAATGAGGACTAACTGTGCACCACTTATTGCAGACCTGTTTCTGTATTGTTACGAGTTACAATTTATGATTAAAATCAGCAAAGACCCATCGAAACAACATCTGATACAAAAATTTAATTTCGTTTGTTAGTTTAGACACAGACACATCGTTTAGATCAACCAATTCGTGATGGTGTCCATAAAATTTACGGAGTGTCATTTTTAATTTTTCCTCCTCATAACTCTGATGAAGCAGTTTCTGTATATGAAGTCCGTATAGTGTGAACATGCACGAGCATACCGTATCAACTGAGATATGTAAACACCATACGATGGGACAGAGGGTATGTTACTGCTGAGAAATGGGAAATTGATAATTGGGAAGTTGAAATCGTCCCGTTTGTCATAGATTTTAGTGTGAAGTCGTCCATCTGTGTCAATATTGAAGAAAAAAATCAAGGTATGAAGCAGTCCTTCTAGCATCAGTAGTATCCCTAATTTCAAGTTCATGTATATGGGATATATGAGATATAAGAACTGACTGAAATATGGTTTATTCAGTGATAGGACATCATCAATATATCTGAACTCATGTAACTCAGATATGAAGCTTTTTCAGGGAGATAATTGATCTTTCCTCGATATTGACAGAGATGGACAACTTCAAACAAGATTCGTTGACAAACGTTCAGATTTCAACTTTTAAATCAACAAATTCACATTTCTCTGCAGTAACCCATCTGCCCAATCGTATAGCGTTTACATATCTCATTAAATGCTTTACGCTCCTTCATGTTCATACATACGGTCTTCGCCTGCTGATGTGTGCTACTTACAACGAACATGCTCCAAGAGAGTTATAATGAAGAACCACAAAAATCGACATTACATCAGTTTTACGATTACCATTTCGATCAGGTTGAGCAATACCATATGTCTGTGTTTCAACTCACTAACGACATGTTATATATAGCAACCAGACCAGTCGTCTAATCTCCAATTGAGACATCTTGACCGAGTGTGGATTCAAATTGCGGGTAATGCATGCATAACAGGAGACACTTATCATGTCGACACACTAAATCATGTTGTTTTTGGAGTTGATGTTGATCCCTCACTTTGTTACCTTGATGTTTCTCCTTAGCGGATTTATGAGATGTGAAAATCTATAAACTACTGTTGCCTTAATTCATTGAATTTAAAAGAAAAGTTGATTGCCAGGTCCCCATTGTATCTTATTTCTCATTTTTGTATTACGATATTAAACACTATCGTTGGAGATGTGTTTTTATACGACAAGTGATGTTAATGAAATCATATTGTTTTTTTTTTGTTTTCACTACTACAAAAAGTTATTAGTATTTCACGGATTTTTTGCTAATTAACATCCTCTCAAAATACATCATCATATATTTCATATAGATTGCAATTCACCGTTTGTATCATGGCTTGTCGAAGTGTAATATTGTTGACAATACCCGTTATAGGTTTTGAGCGTTCCCGATGAAGGTAAATCCAGGAAAGCGCTATGACGCACGGAAATATAAGTGTTATTCCCGTTAACAAGCACATGCAGGATATTACTGCTAATGGACTAAGACCTGTCGTTCATCAGCTCATTAATCAGTGCATCTGCACTGACATGATTTATAACACTGTTTTCTTAAATTCTCCGTTGATAAAATATTCAATTAATAAAAAATTCGTAAGGGTTCCGCGGAACCCGGTGTCTCGCCTACTTTTGCTGTTAATCGCAGGCTCAACTAAAATGAGGAAAAAAATTAATAAAAATATTCCTCTCGATACTATCTTTTGATTGTAAGAAGCTTCTGTCCAAGTTTGGTAAAAATCCAGGATAGTTTATGAAAAACTGAGTCCATTTATAAGTAAAATACGAAAAAACAGGTAAAAAATTTTAACAAAATTTTCTTCTAGATACTAGCTGTTGATCATAAACAAGCTTTTGTCCAAGTTTGGTACAAATCCAGGATAGTTTAAGTTATTAAAATTTTAAAAACGTTAACCACAGAGTGAATATAATGTTTCCTGGCAGAAAAACTAAGTCCATATATAAGTAAAATACGGGAACAAAAATTCTTTTTGCTAAATTTACATCTGGATACTATCTTATGATCATAAACAAGCTTCTGTCCAAGTTTGGTAGAAATCCAGGATAGTTTAAGAAAGTCATTAAAATTTCAAAAACTTTAACCACAGAGTGAATGTAATGTTTCCTGGCAGTAAACTAAGTCCATTCATAAGTAAAATTCGGAAAACCAGAATTTTTTTTTTACAAAATTTACTTCTGGATACTATATCTTATGATCATAAACAAGCTTCTGTCCAAGTTTGGTAGAAATCCAGGATAGTTTAAGAAAGTTATTAAAATTTCAAAAACTTTAACCATAGAGTGAATGTAATGTTTCCTGGCAGAAAAACTAAGTCCATTTATAAGTAAAATACGGAAAAAAACCAAAATTTTTTTTTAATTTACTACTGGATACTATCTTATGATCATAAACAAGCTTCTGTCCAAGTTTGTTAGAAATCCAGGTTAGTTTAAGAAAGTAATTAAAATTTCAAAAACTTTAACCACAGAGTGAATGTAATGTTTCCTGGCAGTAAACTAAGTCCATTTATAAGTAAAATTCGGAAAACCAGAATTTTTTTTTTACAAAATTAACTTCTGGATACTATATCTTATGATCATAAACAAGCTTCTGTCCAAGTTTGGTAGAAATCCAGGATAGTTTAAGAAAGTTATTAAAATTTCAAAAACTTTAACCATAGAGTGAATGTAATGTTTCCTGGCAGAAAAACTAAGTCCATTTATAAGTAAAATACGGAAAACAAGAATTTTTTTTTAAAATTTACTACTGGATACTATCTTATGATCATAAACAAGCTTCTGTCCAAGTTTGTTAGAAATCCAGGTTAGTTTAAGAAAGTAATTAAGATTTCAAAAACTTTAACCACAGAGTGAATATTTGTGGACGCCGCCGACGACGACGACGCCGACGACGGAATGTAGGATCGCTATGTCTCGCTTTTTCGACAAAAGTCGAAGGCTCGACAAAAACGAAGGTTCCATCTAACTCAAGCTCGGTTTACCTTAGATGAATATATAAAGTGTAATTTCATTTATATTTTTATATATCATACAGTTTTTACTCTACTTGGCTGATTATTGACAGATCTATTTTTCAGCTCGTTTGGTGTGTCCATACTGCCAACAGAAATGTTTCTGCAAATGTGCTTGCAGTGTCTGCGTAAATAAAATTTGTGACAAACCGTTTCGCAAGGAATGTGGCTGCGCGTGATTGAGAGAATGATGAAATTCTGAAAGGACACATGAGTTTGCTCTATCGACACTGTAAACAATCCTAACACTACTTATTGTAGATGATTTTATGTTCAATATTAGAGATTCTACATCTTACTATGTAATTATTATTCAATATTTTTTATCTGTTTCAAATTACTTAATCGAGTTTGTAATTGTACCATAATGTAAGACGAATTTTATATAAGACGCTTTATGTCTTCTATGAAGCGTCATACATTTCGGTCCCACGCGTACCTTTAATGATAGTGGTGTTATTTTTTATTAACATCCTACCATGAAGACACCTTATTCCAGTGAATATCAGAACAATTGATCAGTTTATGATAAAAGCATGAAACTCGGCATCGTAAAAGATTAAATGGCATAGACAAACTTCAGATATGGAGCCACGAAAAAAAATTTGACATGTCTGCCAAATGAAAAATGGCCGATATAAGGTATTGGAATACATCACCATAAACTTGATGAAGTCTACTAAAATTGAGAATGGGAATGGAGAATGTGTCAGAGAGACAACAACCCGACCAAAGAGCAGAAAACAGCCGAAGGCCACCAATGGGTCTTCAACACAGCGAGAAAATCCCGCAACCGGAGGCGGGCTTCAGCTGGCCCCTAAACAAAAATGTGCACTAGTTCAATAAAAATGGACGTCACACTAAACTCAAAAACATATAAATAAACTAAAATTAAAAAACATACAAGACTAACAAAGGCTAGAGGCTCCTGACTTGTGACAGGCGCAAAAATGCGGCGGGGTTAAACATGTTTTGTGAGATCTCAACCCTCCCCTATATACTCTAGCCAATATAGAATAAACAAACACACAGCAATACGCACAGCAAAACTCAGTTTAAAAGAAGTCCGAGTCCGATGTCAGAATAAGTAACAAAAGAAACTAAGAATGACAATATACTTAAATTAACAAAGGACTACTAGCAGTTACTGATATGCAAAAGTTCAGTTCATATTCAAGTATGAAATCAAATGCAAGCCCAGTGTTTAAGCTTTCTAAATATTATCAAATCTTCTCACAATTGAAATATATATCTTTGCCCCTTGAAAAAATAGGCAAAAACGCTAAAAAAAAAGGTTTTTTTTATCGTTAACAAATGCAAAATAAATAATAAACAATTGATTATTTGATGTATTCTTATAAATATTTAGGTTATTGGAAATATTTGGCGGATTTTTTTAGGTTGAAGCACGATTTGTTGTCGGAAAATGAGGAAAATACGAAATAAATTTTAAGATTTCCAGATTTAACCTTTTTTTGCCTCAGACGACCAATCTCATTTTACTAAAACGCTTCAATTAAAAAAATGAACCTTTCGTATAAACTACAGACATTGGTAGTTTTAATACTTTAGATAAATACTACAAATATTGAAAAAAAAACACTCCTACCTTTCAATATGTTTAATTTTAAACTAGAAACTGTGAATATTCACAAAAATGAACAACTAAAATACTGCTGGTAGTAACTTGTACCCAGGTATGGTGTTCATTAGTCAGCTTTAAACACTGTTCTATAGTATGGGAACCTTTAAATTAATGATTAAAAAGATATTTCGTTAAAAAAACTTGATACCACATTTGAATATGTACTGAACTCTTGCATATCGGTAGACATTATTTTTTTTGGTGGCTCCATTTCCTAAAATGATTTATAGTATCGTACCTAATACTGTGCAAAGTTTCATGCTTTTACCATACAGTGATCAATTATGACTATATAGTGGACCTAACTGCTAGACTATTGACCAATGTCCAAATATCTTAAATCCATTCAGTACATACAAAACAAGGTAAAGAACAAAAACCTGGGGGGGAATTGCGTGAATTCCAACAGGATAGAGCGAAACCGGGTTCATCGAAAGGTAAGACGGCAATAATCCTGTACATGAGACAATATCTGAAAAGTCTAATATCCTGGTTCCATCTTTCACCAGCAATTATTTTTTTATTCAACCATCTTTTTGGAAAAATTTAAGTTTCAGTATTAGCTAGAGTATATAATGCACCAACTTTTGCCAATTAAACACTCTTTCTTATATTTCTTCCAATAAAATATTATAATTTGAATTTTCAACCCCCCCCCCCCCCCCCAAAAAAAAATCATTCAAAGAATATCCAAATTAAGTAAACAGGCTTCCGATTTTCACTTTGAATAAAGATATATGGGATGAATGATTCAAAATGTGTCATGATATAAAGAAAAATAATTTATGCACACGAGATACTGACCCTTTAATGTTTAAACGAAATTCGTTTGAAAACAAAAGGCACTGTGCATTCGACAACGGTGAGTTTGTGATAACAGCAAATGGCTTGCTAAAAATGGTTCGTTTACCAAGAGTATGTTTTCCCGACCCGTTTACAATCTTATTAACATATATCAGCACGCTAGTTATATGGATCAAAATTTTAATCAGATTTGACCCGTTTAATGACCTGGTATAAGCCGGAAAAGATTTCAGCTAGCACATACTTGCAAGGGTTTTCAATTTGTCAAGTAGGGGTGTCCTAATTAAATTTTGAAGACATTACATCAAAGTAATTACTTGTATTTACTAGTATTCAATTGCGGTGCACTCCCCCTTTTAATAAAATGGCTAAGTTATAGCATAGGTCAGTGAACATCCTGAAATCAATATTTCACACTGTTATTTTTTTTTATTTTTTTTTTTTTTTTTTCTAATTTAAAGAATTATTCAACGAAAAGTGTAAAGCTGTTTAAGTATCTAAAGAAGACTGACAGTACCTATAACAATACAAGAGTTGTCTTTCATTGGTCAGTGTTAAACTACTACACAGTTATCCGCGTCAATTAAAATTTGAAATAAGAAACTAATAAATATTGAAAGCAACTTAACAAGTTCTGTGCCATAGGGCCAATATTTTGGCCTTTGTAACTTCTCAAAAATGCCATGGGCCCAATATTTTGGCCCATTATAAGTAAAACCTGAAGATTACTTTGAAGTACAAATTCATCGTTTGTGTTGTATTAAATATACCCAAATTAGTTGTGGTGACAAAAACAATATTTAGTTTTAAAAAAAAACGGTTTTATTTCGATTGACGTCACTTTTAACCACACGACAGGTTCCCGTTCTAGAACAAACGCTACGTGCAATGTCATGCTTTATTAACGTCAAATGTTGGGATTTGTGTACACAAAAAAAGTCAATTCCATTGTCAAACTTCAGAAAAATAATTTATAAGCAATGAAGTAATAAAGCTCATTGTATTTCTTTTAAGTTATTGATTGTCTAAGTGGTGAGCGAAAAATACTTTTGGTTTTGGTACAGTTTGTTATCCTGTTTTTGTTCTACATGCCCATAGGTTGTATGATATTGGGCATTAATGATCACAGATAATAGGTATTCCGTTAATATCGGTGAATGATAAAGCTGATTATAAATGTAGTTGTGAAAAAGATATGAAATATATTGTTTGCAAAGGAGTATCTGCCAAAAAATAGTTCATTATGTTTACGGCAAAATTTTTTGAAACAAACAGCTAATCTAAAAGATCGCCACGTTGTGAAATTGAGCTCCTATAGACAGGCAACATATGTGTTTCTTGTTTTGTTTTTAATTGATGATGATGATGATGATGATGATGATGGATGGCTGCTTAATGTCCAGTGATATGGATATTTACCCTTCTTGGTACTAGACCGACACCGCTTAGTCGGATTTTAACGTGCTAGTACACAAGGTAACAGTCCGCAAGAAGACATGTCACCTTACCCGGATACATTATTCTGACTCCGAGCCGAGTCTTTGCTCTTACTCCTTAATGCCGAGAAGCAGAAAATACCAATTTTAAAGTCTTTGGTGTAACCCGGTCGGGGTTCGAACCCGGGACCTCCCGCATTCGAGGTGAACACGCTACCACGAGACCACCGAAGCGGTTTTTTAATTGAGAATATATATTTAATAAAGTCTAAATGTATATATTTTAATTCTTTCTTTTCTTTATTAAATTTTAAAATATTAATATAACGTGGAAAAGAAGGAAAATTAAGTGATAACAGGACCGGTACCAGTCCTCTGAGCAATTCTAGAAGTCTGTAATGCATTTCTTGTTACTGTCCCCCCTTTTCCATCCACTGTTGAGAAAAAAAATATTGCAGATGTTTGCCCCCTCCTACACTTTCCAGTTCATTCCTACACTCTGCTCATACCTCCTTTTATTTATGCTTATAACAAAAATATGAAATATTATGAATGAAAGTTTTAAAGTAACGGGAGAAAATGCTCAACCTTTAACAATTTAAAATTTGAAAAATCAAATTGAAATGAAAAAACAACATTTTTATCGATATTAGTTTCTAAAGGTAATGAAATCCAAACAGTATCCGAGTATTTTTTTTCTTTACATGAATAAAGTTTAAAAATACCGTTGAATGATTATATTTATATATATTCAGTTCATGTTGTACCCTGCCCCAATCGACGAAGATTCTAGCCGACGCAATGCATATCAAATACCAACTCTTATCCATTGACTAAACGAGTTAGAATTGGTCATACATATTGCCATGTAATATGTCGTGGTTAAATGAATAAAATATTTTACTGACAATTCATTAAAGGCTCTTTATTTTTATTTTAATTCTTTCTTTTCTTTATTAAATTTTAAAATATTAATATAACGTGGAAAAGAAGGAAAATTAAGTGATAACAGGACCGGTACCAGTCCTCTGAGCAATTCTAGAAGTCTGTAATGCATTTCTTGTTACTGTCTCCCCTTTTCCATCCACTGTTGAGAAAAAAAATATTGCAGATGTTTGCCCCCTCCTACACTTTCCAGTTCATTCCTACACTCTGCTCATACCTCCTTTTATTTATGCTTATAACAAAAATATGAAATATTATGAATGAAAGTTTTAAAGTAACGGGAGAAAATGCTCAACCTTTAACAATTTAAAATTAGAAAAATCAAATTGAAATGAAAAAACAACATTTTTATCGATATTAGTTTCTAAAGGTAATGAAATCCAAACAGTATCCGAGAATTTTTTTTCTTTACATGAATAAAGTTTAAAAATACCGTTGAATGATTATATTTATATATATTCAGTTCATGTTGTACCCTGCCCCAATCGACGAAGATTCTAGCCGACGCAA